ACTTCTCAGCTCCTGTGCACCACGAATGACTATTATGATCCTTTTTGGGTACAGTTCTAGACTCTTTCCACAGACTTATCCTCACACTGAGGCCTTGTTCTGCCTTTGACTTTCTTTCTTCTGTGCTCTTGATCATAATGGAACTCTCATCACCTCTTTCATCACCTTAGCTTTTCTCTTCCCAAATGCTGTTCATTTTTTTGTACAGTAATCAGTTTCAGTCAGTTCTTCTGGCTCACTAGAATATGCACACATCCTCAGCCTTTATAGAACTTTCAGACCCAGTAGTATCACATGCTCCAACCTGCATGCTGATGCCTTCAGCAGCCTATATGATAACCATCTTCTTCTAATGGGTAAAAGGCTCACTTAGTGTATCCAGAAGTCCTCAGTTACCTCAGTTACAAGCTCAGGTCTACCTCAAGGATAGGAAAAGAAAATTTCATCTCTAGTCCCCTCATCTTCTGTAAATATCATATTCATTTCTAGGAAGATAATCATTTCATAGTTGCAGATAAAAGGGAATAAAGAACAAACATTTCTTGTTTATCTCTCTACTTGAATTCCAGTCTTGCCTGTGCAGATTTCTGATCAGATGGGGAAGAACAATTATCTAAATTTCTGTACCTGACTGGAGTATATGTTGGTTACTGTTCTCATTAATATGACAAAAATATCTGAAAAGTTACTTACAAAAGAAGGGATTTATTTTGACCATTATGGCAAAGAAGGCATGATGCCAGGAGTGTAAGGTGGTTGGTCATGTTATATCTGTAGTCAGAAAGCACAGATACATAAATACTGGTGCTTAGCTCACTTTCTCCATTTCATTCAATCCTGGACTCCAACCCATGGGTGAATCATCCCACTTCAATTAATTCTCACTGGCATGTTCAGAGACTCGTCTCCTATATGATTCTAGATCCTGTCAAGTTGACAATATTAACCCTCACAGAACATAATGATAATGTCACTTGTCTTTTACAAGTCTGGTAAGAAGAAATGAGTGATGACAAGTGAAGTATTTTAAGCAGTGTTTGGCACAGAGCAAGTATCAAATCATGTGAACAGCAAAATATTATAATCATCATCATTATTGATATTATCACTACTGCAATGTTAATGAACCTCAGAAATGAGAATGAGTTATGGAAGGTTCTCATCACAGACCTTGCAGAACCAAACAACTCTGTTCATCAGATTCACACAGAAATCTACTTAGGGCACATTCTTCAGTGTCAGTGTCAGGTGCTACTACCTTCAAACTAGCAGTGATAGGTGATTCTGTCCTTCAAGAGGCCCAGAAATGGCATTCCTCACCAAGCAAAGAGCCATGAGTCAGTGTTTCAGAGTCATAAATGTGGCTTAGTAGCGAGTAGAGGAACAGTGGCCCAGGAAATATAAGCCCATCCTATACATTCCCCACCCCCTGCTGTGTGGCACTGGGCAGCATGCTATGCTACTCTGGACCCTAGTTTCTTGTCAAATTGACTCCATCAGTAGAGGGAACATTAAACCCTCTTTAATGTCACATGTTATGCTTGTAAGTTAGAATGGATGGTTAGTCAATGCCTGTCTCTTTCTCTTAAATGTAACAAATAATCACAGCTGATTTTGATAAATGTGGAATGAATAAATAGTGTAGTCCCAAGAAAATACTTTAGAGCAAATCACCTAATCAAAACACATCTTTTTTGTTTCTGTTTTTGAATCACTGACCATCTTGGTGATCCTGGGCCAGTCTCAGCCTCAGACACACCATCTGTGAAAGGCATTGGGTCAACCTTGTCCGTTTCTTTGTCAGCCTGACTGGTCCTCATCCTGCACTTAAGGAAGCTGAGGTCCCAAGAAGGGAACGGAGTTTATGGTAATATCTAATGCAGTTGAAAGCAGACTGCAGCTGAGCTGAGGGCCACAGTACTTGTGGCTGTCATAGTGTGCTGCTGCGGTAATGGGTGGCAGTCAGGAAATGTAACCTAAATCACACACACACACACACACACACACACACACACACACACACTTCCTATTATCCAACAATGACATGAAAGAGGGGTAGAAACACTTTGTAGAATCAAAGGAAGTCACCAATGTGCACCCTCAAAAGAGAGGACAGAAGGAGCTAGGCCATCTCGGCCCATCTCCAGCCAGCAGGCTCTGTTTCTATAGTCAGACCTCAGCCTACAGAGTAAACCAGAAAATCTGAGGTGCGATGTCTTACTGTGCTCAGAACGTTTATTTGTCATCATTCTAGAGGCTCCCAAGGTCCAAGACGGGGGAGATTCAGTATCTGGTAAGAGCCCACTTCCTGGTTCATAGGTAGTACTTTCTGGATGTATCTGCATATGGTGGAGTTGAGGCTGCGCTTGGTGGGTCTCTTGGATAAAGCCCCTATGCCTTCCATGACCTAAGTACCCCAAAGGCCCTGTCTCCTAATGCCATCATTTTAGAGATTAGGTGAATTTTAACATGACACTGGAGGAATATGAGCATTTAAGGCTTCTCTAATAATATTCTTTTATACCCCAATGGTGAGCGCATTGAGGGGTACAGAGGAGAAAGTTAGAGCTGCCATCAAAGCAAGGAAAAGGAAGTTGTACAGCAACTTAATGTTTCCTGTTCTCTATAGACCAGAAGGAAGGCCTGGCATTCCTCCCTTCACTAATAGGTGGTTTATGTAGGTGCCTTTGACTGGTTACCCCTCTTGTCTCTTCTTAGAGTGATTGTAGGAGTCTAGAGAGTAAATTATCCTATTTGTTTAATGTGAATATAACAGTGTACCTGAGATTGTAGTTTTATTGGAGATCCATTTTCTACTATGCAAAAACCTTGATAGCCCAAGGTTGAGGTACCTGCCTCTTGCCCAGGCCCTCATGCTCCTTTTATCAGATGCCTACCCCTTCATAAAGGCATTTGCCCTCCTATCTTGATTCCTCTTAAGGATCCTGTGTCTTAAGCTGTTAACACATAAATTTTGAGGAGTGCTTTCAAAATACAGCACCAGCAATGCAAGGGCTCACCTGTTGGTGAGCCCTCAAGAGACAGCTCCCTTCCAGGGACACATTGTAGCATTCAGCACACATTACCTCTTCCCATTACAGGTCTCCCACAAAGGCTCCTGTGGGTCTAGTTCTTATTCTTACTCCATGCTGAGGCTTGGTCTCGCTTGGTGTCTTCTATAGACACTGGGAATATGACCAGTAATGGGAACAGCCATCATGGAGCAACCCCCTTGGAGCCAGGCCTTCTCTGGTTCTGCTGTCCTTTAGCATATTAACTTCTCCAGAGCCCATCCTCCATATCTCCTTCAGCCCCCCTGTTGATATCTGCTGACACCTTTACCCATAAGTAACTCCACCCTTCTAGGCCCTCTGCAGGCCTTCCTGCCTTTTCTGGACTCTATATCCAGATCAAAGACAGCAAAGTGCTGTGGTTAGTCAAGTAGCCTCTAAGGTGGGTTGCAAGGTGCCAGGCACAATTTTATGAGACTATGGAAAAACAGAATCTTCTGGAGCCTCCCTTCCCTTCCTAAACAGGGGTACTATTCACAGTGATACACCCATGGACTTTTGTTATTAAAAATTAATTCACATTATTTGCTGTTAGTAGTCATGACAAAATAGAACTATTTGTAAGAATGAGTACCAATAAATATTAATAATCCATTACTTAGAGTAATTTAGTTCATATTATACTCTAAATATTCACTTATTTTTCTCATTTTTTCCCTTACATATTTTCTCTTCTCAAGCAAGTCAGAAAATGTGGGCCCAATACCTCATTTCTCATCTGGAAATTACAACAGTGTCCCCAGCTCTGATTTTGCTCTGCTTACCTTACCAGGCACATCTTTACACACAGGGATGGCTCTAAAACCTCATCAGTCATTTTGCTCTCTCTTTGGAATCTGTAGTGGCTAGGTCTGAGTTCCAAATGTTGGCTTCTCGGGTATAGGAAGTCAGCACAGCTGGGTTTCTTTCATTCCCAACCCCATGCTTCAGCATGACCTTCCCGACATGACTCACTTGAGCCCATCTCTCCCTGGAACCATGTTCCTCTCCTCTGAGCCCCAACTTAGGCATCTTCCATCATGCTTCTATTGACAGTTTCAGAGCTATCTCTTTTCCATACTTTTCCCTCCTCTGTGCCTTCCAACTACCTATCTGGGCCGAGAATATTCTACGGGCAGCTGCCATATACTTAGGACATCTCTCAATCTGGCAGACTTCCAAGGGAACCAACATTTCTGTGAGTTCTTGCCCAATGCCAGATTTAATGTGTTTACTTTTCATAGCAATTCTATGAGTCTATCACTCAGTCTTGGATGAAGACAGAGACCACACTAATTATTTAAATAGGAAATGCCATGTTTAGAAGTGGTAACCAGGCATAAAGTATAGACTTGACCTTGAAATAAAAAACTTAAGTTAGAAATTACAGGGGATGACTAACAGTGTGGTGCTTGAACAGCAGAGAGGTCACCAATGTCAGAGAAGCAGGAACCATGGAGCTTATTGTGAATGTTGGGAAATCTGTATCATGAATTTTTGAAAGGAAGGAAGTACCAATGGTGGTAGGAGAAGGAGGCCCAGTGATGTTCTCAGTATCCAAAACCCCAGAGAGAAGCCATGTCTCCCCTCCTCAGGCCCCAAGTGTCCTTCTCCAGGACTCTCTGAATCACCAAAGTAGTTTCTTGTGGAATGGTCCCAGCCTCTGCAATGCAGAGATGGAGGATCCCAGAGATGAAAGACTAATAATAGCATACACAAGAACTGTGAATGTTCCTGTAATGCAGAGAATAAGGGAACTTCCCATGATTAAATGACAGCTTATGACATAGGCAAGATTTGATCCATCACCAGCACTAGCTCCCTACCACTCTGCCAAAAATGTGGAATGAATGAACTGCAGACTCATGATCATACTTCATTCAGCCCCAAGCCATGGAATCCTGTGTTGTTTGGCCCTCGCAATCTGTCAGTCTCTTTGCTGCCCTTCAGGTCATCCACTGGAACTCCCCCAAGAAGCTCCGTGTGAAGAACAAACACGTGGAATTCTTCCGCAACCTCTACCTGACCTTCCTGGAGTATGATGGCAACCTCCTACGGCGGGAACTATTTGGCTGTCCCAGTGAAACTGATGTCAACAGTGAAAATGTGAGTGTTCTACAAATAGTGGGAGAGATTGGCTACATTCTCAATTGTCTGTTTTGGCTCCTTTTTGAATTCTGCAGTCAGCTCAGGGCTGGACCCTGACATGAAACCCATGGCCCAATGGGGCAATGATCAGATCATCTGGTCACTTCCTGTGGATCAATATGGACTTGGAAGGAGACATTAGCTCACCTGAATGGGTCAGAGTGAGTTTCCAGGCAGACAAGCCATCAGAATTGCATTGTCTGCCTCATGACCGGGAAATTTCCAAGCTCGTGCTAGTGGAGGTATCCATATAAGGACATATAGATATGATATAGGATTGATTGGGTGGAGCTTAGGGTGACACAGAAGGAGACTTCTGTAGATACTGGTTCCTTCCCAGCTGATTTGGGCAAGGCAAGTATTGAATGAAGAGTTATAAGAAGAGCTTGAGATATTGGATGCTTTTTTGCTATTGTTATTTCTTAGTCTATCATATGCTATAGCTCATTTTTGTCCATTGAGTACTTCTTTTACTATTGAAAAAGTTCAAGCAGAGAAATTAAGCAAGTTGCCCATGGTAACAGAGCAAGCAATAATGCTGGCTGTGAACAACACTCAACTCTTAAGAATACGGGAAAAAAGCATGGTAGCCAACAGGAACATATTCAAGCTGACCTGAGTTTAACTCTATTACCTTTGTTGACAAAAAAACTACAGGTCTCATCTTAAAGGGAATAAAAGATTGTTTATTCTTGTGTCATTTTTAGTGTCTATGGCCCAGGAACACAGATTTATGTCACTCCAGAGTCCATGTTCCAATGTGGAAGCAGTTTTATGAAGTTTTATAAATTCACAGATCAAAATTAATTAGCAGCCAATGCTACATATCAATGACTGGTGAGAACCCAGGCAGTTTCTTTCCTTGAGGAGCAGCCAAGAGATAAGGAGATAAAATTGGCACTGAAACCTAAATGACAAGAAAGCCAGCTGTAGTCAAGCAAGGAAGATACATTCCAAGTAGCAGATTACCTGGTGCAAAGGCACAGAGGTTTAAAGAGCAGTAGGGACTAGTTGGGGAGAGAGAAGAGGGACATGTGGGATGGCAAAGGTCTTTGTAAACTAAATGAAAAAGTATCTGAATCTAGAATTTCCCTCTGAGACTCACAGGCTTTAATAACTGTCGTAGATGTCCTGAGACATCTTTTAGGCTCCCTGTGGAAGGTAAGGAGACCTTACTGGCCTCTGATGGAGTAACTGATCACAGTGAAGTTGCTACTTGCACCAGCTCTTCTCCTTGTTCTCCTAGACTCCTCAGTATCTACAGTTCACTCTGGAATGGAGAAGGGAAGCCAGGAAGCACTGAGAAGCACAGTTTCCATTTCCCTCAGTTTTTCTCTTGTTCAAATCAGAGTTTGTTCTCATCACTGTTGGTGAATACCTGTTTGGAGTTTTCTCCCAAATGAGCAGTGTAAACTCTCTTTTCCATCACTTCCCCTCTGTGGCTGTCTACCCATTCTTGAGTTCTCAGTGTTAACCTTAAGTGCCTCAAAGGCTATCTATCTGCCTCCTCCTTTGCCTGCATCCAGAGGTTTAAGCTCCTCTAAGAACCTGGAACTGTGTTTGATTGTTCATTATGTATATATAAATGCAAGCCATAGTCCAAGAGCTTGGCAGAACCCTGTGGTAGACATTAGACACAGAGCCATATGCAAGCTGCCACTTAACAACTCGTGAAGCAGAGAGGCCAGGCTTTCTAGGTCTGAGAGTACCCTGCTCTAAGCACTTAGCACCCTTGCCTTTCTCCACCAAGTGCCATGTACCAGCTATACTTCCCCATTGGTCCTGTATATGTGTGCCTTCCCACCACCTTGTCTCTGCCCAGCCTGTTTAAATGTTCTCATTTAAATGGTGACCCAGAGTAACCCCTTAAGTGAAATTCTGTGACCTATCTCATTTTCTTTCCATCAGAACATACACTACTATCTGCAATTACATAGACTTTCTTTCCTGGTTTTTTTTTACCCCCAATATCAGGATTCTAGGTTGGAGACTTTGAAGCATTTGAGCCATTATCCTCTCAAATCCACTCCTAGAACAGAAGCAGGTCCATGATAATTGCTCACAGAATTAATGTAGTAAACAGTTATAGAGAGAATAAAGCACCAGGTAAAAGGAAATGCAAGTAAGTGAAGAGGCAGAGGCAGAAAGCAGTGTGATGGTGGCTTCTGTTCAAAGGTATTGCACATTGCAGCCTCCAGCACAAGGGTTTTGGTTGGGTTGGGAGTTTGGGCTAAAGCCTGTTGATTTTATAGGTATGTTCACATTTACATTTGAGAGAAGCCAATGCAGAGAACAGAATAAAAGATAAGACTGAAACAGAGCTATGTTCCAGTCCAGGTAAAGACATGATAATGATGTTGAACTTGGCCAGGAGCAGCAGGAGAGCTCAGTTGAAATTATTTGTAGATTCCAAGGACAGGGGAGAATGAATAGCTAGCACTCATGAAGGCAACAGGTCCCTGTACCTGGCCAGACAGGTGATTTTGTTGGCTAAATTGTAAGTAGAATCACCCACCAGTGACAGAGGCTGCATCGGGAGATAGTCTGTGGACATTGCACTCCTAGTGACCCAACTCTTTGGGAAACCCAACCACCTGGTCCTTTGCAGCATGGCAAAGGTGAGGTAAAAACAAAGACAATCTGGCAGAGTGAAATCCAGAGTATTATCCAAAGCTGTTGTTTTGAACTCTAGGAAGAGGCCATCAGAGCTGGCACAGTGCACAGATGACTGACTCTGGAGGAAGCAGTTAAGACCCACTTTACTTGACCTTCAACCTCCTGATGGAAATGGGTTCCATGGCAGACTATGGAAGCCTCGAGAATTAATCCTCCACCCTGTGGATGCTTGCTGAGTTGACAGATACAGGACTAGTGATGAGACAGGAGGCTCTGAAGATTAAAGCCTGGATTTTACAGTGCTGTGTCCTAAGGAATGAAGACATGCATGAGGGTATCACAGGGTGGCAAGTGCCAACATGGTGGTAGTGCTCTGAGAGTGCATAGGCATGTCACATGACTAAGAGTTTCAATGGGAGAGATTTACTGAGGGGAGTAAAAATTTTAAAAATATATTTCCCCCAGTATTTGGAATTGAACCTAGAGTGTCATGCATGCTACGCAAACACTCTATGACTACACCCCCAGTCTCTTTCTTTTGCTAAGTCTGGCTTGCTTTTTGTTTTAAGATATAAAGTTTTGCTGGGTTTCCTAAACTAACCGTGTGCTCACTCTGTAGTCCAGGCTAGACCAGAACATGTGATCCTTCTGCTTGCTAAGTGCTAGGTTTGCAGGGATGCAACACCAGACATGGCCAGGAGCTCAGATTTGAAAACTGGATAAGTTGGAGTGTAGAGTCTACGGTGTGGACTATATGAGAAGAAACAGTAGAGACCAGGCAGGCATGGGCTGTAAAGGGTGCCATGTTCATGCCTGCTCAGCTGTTTCTTCAGTGATGGTAGGCAGTGATGGTGATGATGAGGGTGTGAACACTCTAGAGATTAGAACCTTCATTTTTCATAGACATACAACCTCAGCAAAGTCGCATAAATGCTCTTAGCCCCAGTGTTTGCCATCTGATATATGGTAAAGGGCTGTCTTTCTGAGTGTTTCCTAGCACAACATCCAAAGAGGTCTTGGTTTCAGGAACATTAGTATTTAACTTTTGGCTGAAGGGGACTGTCTTTCTATGAATAGACATCAGGTTAATTAACACTTATATGGGAGGAATGACTGAAAAACAAACCTGTGGAATCCCTTAGAAATCTATCTATAAAGCATACAAGTTATGTCACCTTAGCAGAAAGAATGGGTCATTTGGTTGTTCCTGATGGTGCAACCAAAAATAGTAAATAAATAAATTAGAAATGAGTCCTCTAAGCTTGTCTTAGTTAGAGTTATTGCTGTGATGAAACGCCATGACAAAAAGTAATTTGGGGTGGAAAGAGTTTATTTGGCTTATACTTTCATATCATTGTTCATCATCAAAAGCAGGGTATGACTCAAGCAGGGCAGGAACATGGACACAGATGAAGAGGCCATAGAGGGTGCTGCTTACTGGCTTGCTCCCCATGGCTTCCGCATCTGCTTTCTTTTCTTTTTTTGCTCCGATGTTTTTTTTTTTTTTTTAATTAGAAACAATATTGTTTTACATGTCAATCCCAGTTCCCTCTCCCATCCCCTCCTCCCCACCCCCCCTTCTAAAACCCTACCTATACATATCCTTTCTGCTCCCCAGGGAGGATGAGGCCTTCCATGGGGGGGGTCATCAGAGTCTATCATATCCTTTGGGATAGGGCCTAGGCCCACCCCCATGTGTCTTGGCTCAGGGATTATTCCTCTATGTGGAATGGGCTCCCAAAGTCCACACCTATGCTAGAGATAAGTACTGAACTACTACAGGAGGTCTGGTAGATTTCTGAAGTCTCCTCACTGAAACCCACATTCATGGTGTCTGGATCGGTGCCATGCTGGTATCCCAGCTATCAGTCCGGGGACCAAGAGCTCCCCATTGTTTAGGTCAGCTGTTTATGTGGGTTTCACCAGCCTGGTCTGGACCCCTTTGCTCATCACTCATCCTTCTCTGCAACTGGATTCCAGTTCAGTTCAGTGATTATAACTGACTTATATGCCATCCTATAGCCTTCATCCAGCAGCTGGTGGAAGTAGAAGCAGACACCCTAATCTGCTTTCTTATAAACCCAGATGTGGCAGCACCTACAATAGGCTCCCCACCATCAAACACTCATTAAGAAAACACCCTACAGGCTTGCCTACAACCTGATCCTACATGGCCACTTTCTCAAATGAAATTCCCTTGTCTCAGAAGACTCTACCTTCCATGAAGTTGACATAAAACTAGCCAGTACAAGGAGTGGCAAGGAACTGGGTTATAAGGAGCATAGCCTCCAGCCGGGGGACTGCCTATATGACAAAACAGTTATGCCTAATAGTTGGGCATC